TTACAAATAAACACCAATAGTGAACAATATGTTAAATGGCGGTGATCGTCACACCATGTCCTGTTTGATATGGATGTATACAACGCATGTAAAATACATTGTTTACACAAAATTCGAACACGCTCTGCATGACGACCACCGTCCTTTAATATAATTAATATAGTCTAGTAGTTTATAAAAACATTTCCTCAATAAAGCATTCCCTATCAAATGTATATTCTTACTCAGATCATGGTGTTTATCATACTTAAATAAATTACTATAAATTGCTTTAATTTCTCGAGAGTTATTTCGAATTTCACGGTTCTACGCCACTTCCCTACCAATAGAATTGGGCTAAATTTTGTCGCCATAATTGCCATAAAATTGACAAATTGTGAATAGTTAGCAATCAACAATATTCAGAAAAACATTTTGGCAGGTCAAATTATGGGGTTCAAAGGTAAAATTAAAATTGTTGTATAACCAGCCAGTCTAATAAGTACTACCCCCCACCCCCACCCCCGTATCTTTTTAACCAAAGTTCAGATTATTTTTCCCTTGACAATTGGTAAGCATTCATTATATGAAAAGCTCAATTTAACATTATCAATTTAATCTCGGATTCAAATCAGGTATGACATGGAAAAATTTTAATTAGCTTATAGTATAGTATAGTAGTTGCATTTGTGAACAGCTCTTCAGCACGTGCTAAGAGGACAGAAAAGTTAACCCATGCTAAGAAATTTTGCGTTACCCTTTATGTATGGGCTAAGAAATGTTAAAGCGCGGTAGTCGCAGTCCAAATGGCCAAATGCCAGTTATTTTTGTGCTAAAAATCATAAAAATCAAGCATTTCTGGCATTCCATAACTGGATCTTGGCAATTATGGATAGATTTTGTTCAAACTTAGTACACACATTAGAGACTATGCACGTCATTTTATTTTTCAGATCGGATTTAAAATGGCTGAGCCATTTTGTTTAAATGAATGCACTTCTAGAGCCATATCTCTGATATGCTTCGAATGATTATGTTCAAATTTTATATATTCGTTTTACATCATGTTATAGATATATAGATGTATTCACAATGGCCGACTGGTGGCCATTTTGTTTTAATTAATGCTGTTCCAGAGCAATATTTCTCAATATGAACAAGCGCTCGTTTGACAATCAGATACAAGATGTCAATCATTTTAAAGCGCGGTAGTCGTGGGTCTCATATAAACAAAGATGGCGACTTTGACTGTTGCGCAGATCAACGAGTACGAACTGAGACGTTTCCAAGCTTTAATTAGGTAATTTTCATGTGATTGAAAGGTATCGAAGGAGCCACCGGCGGTAATCAGTGCAAGTCCCGCCCAGGTCAAACCTCATACTTGTGATTTCCATTTGAAGAGCGCATTGGATTGTGGGAAAATCAATGTTTATCAACACAAATGTCGAACATGCGCAGCGCGGCGACTATCGCGTTTTAAGTGCATAGAAGATGAGACTCTAGTAATAGTTGATGAAACTGTATTTTACTACTGTCATTCTGCAATCTGCACTTACCAGTACTAAATTTTCATTGTTATTGTTTTATAACATAGTAGAACAAACATGTTATTAACGTGAGTGCATGGTTAAAAGGACTGAAGATTTGTATATTCTTAACAAGATTGGACACCGCTTTAGTCTGTGCTAATTGCTGTTCTCGTACGTGCATGAATGCAATTGGGTATAGCCCATATGCAAACACATGGGATTATCATTAAATCTTAATTAGCCCATACTTGGTATAGCCTGAACACCGCTAATTTTAATTTTAACCAAAAAGTGAAACTTGTATACAGATTATTTCCCCCTAGACAGTTGATAAACATTCATTATTTGAAAAGCTCAACTTAAGATTATCAATAATCTCAGATTCAAATCTTGTATGACGTGGGAAAATTTTAATTTACATATTGATGAACAATACGTTTATGTAATCATATCAAGTATAGCATTAACGCGTCGCTGATTTTTTACCACAACAATCAATAATGTCATATTGGCGGTGGCAGCAATAACAATTTTATTGGAAAGTATCCAGACTTGCATAATCTCACATCTGCCTTACTTGTAATAGAGAGTGATTTAATAATCACTACAAATTCTTAATGTTTGTCTGAGTGAGCGGAACAAAGGTTTCCTAAAACTTGTAAGAGCTATAAGTGAATGCTTGTTAGTAGATTACCTATATGTACCATGGGTATTCACAGACAGAGTACTTGTGTATCGTTCATTTGGGCATTCACTGCAATGCAATGTAAGTGATTAAAAAAATACATTTAATTAAACCTAGATTTTTTGTCTCATTTTATTTTGTCATATGAGATTGTGAAAACGAATTTCAAGAATGAAGTTTCAAATTATACAGATTCAGGGGCCTCTAACTGTGAAATGTTTTGTTCACTGTGAATTTTGCTTGACGTTTTCTGCTTTATCCTGGCAGCAATTTCACTGGTATTGACGCTACAAAATAATAACAATAATGAACTCCCGGCCAACTGATAATGGACTCACTGCACACACTGTGCCCTGTATATTTCAAACAAAGTGTGTTTTCACCCATTATGGGTTGGTGGGTCATATATTGTTATTTAAATTAAGGTTTGTAGATGTGATATTTGATAAGGATCACACGAAAATTGAAGAAGTCGTGTAAATTACAATATGATCGCAAGAGAACAGAATCCCAATGCAATAGTTTCTGGTAGTGTTTTTGCTTATACATGTATTACATATGTTTAACATTTTTAAATGCAGCAATAATCTTGTTTATTTATGTTTACGACATCAAACATGATTCGTTGCTATTGGTTAGTACAACATTTGATTGATGTGCATGAAATAAGCTAGACTTTAAAAAACAAAGAAAGATTAAAATTGATACTGTACAAAAAGATTAAAATACCGTAAAGGTTAGATTAAAAAATACTGTAAATGCTTTTAGTTATTTGCTATGTAATTATATATTTGCCTATTTGTTATATGTTATATTCACTTATTTTCTAGATAGCTAAATGTTTTCAATAACTTAAAACAATTTAACGCACAATTTATCAAGACTTATTTGACTTTCAATATTTATCTTACAATTTTTTCCTTCGGTCATGGTCAATTCACAAGAATTAGGATTACGACACTTTTAATATACTGATCAAAGCTTACGAAGTGGAGTAAATGATTTATCTGTTGCAAGTTTAACGATAAACTTACTTCAATCCTTTAAACGCTACCAGTGCACATGCTGAGAACGCAAATCAAGATAATTACACGTTCGTAATCACTGTATTAGAAAGGTTTCGCAAACTGCTTGACATTGATGTAAACAGTACTTCACACCATGTAGACGAGCATCAAGAAGTCACCATTGATGTCCAAATAAAACAACTTTAAAAGCAGTCTACTTAGTTTTTTTCCAATGATATCAATGCATGCATTGAGATGTCCTCGGTTTGTATTGTGTTCGGCCGGACCCATCTTTATGTTCCCAGAACAATCGTTAAGAAGGCTGAGATAAAAGGGTGCATGATCTAGTGAGGCAGGTCAGATCTTGATGTCCACTAGACAGCCATACTACTATTATGCACATAATACTTCAAGCTTTCACTCAAAATGTATTACCGGTAAGAATTAATTCACATGAGGAGCAAATTCCTAGCATAAAATGGTGAAAGCACCTCAATAATCAATAATTATGCACGCCAATATTTGTTACTTCTCTTTCGAATTTATTTCGCTGAAATTTATACCAGAAAATCTATTTGTCTTATTTCCGAAATCTTGAAAGTTCACTTAGCCAATCACAATAGACCTTACTTACTGATGGATGATATGTTATAAATGTTTTGATTGGTTAAGCAAATTTTGCTTAAATTCCTGCATTTTTTTTATTTCTATCTACCTTACCCCCCCCCCCCCTCCCATCTTGCTAACAACTAACAAAAAATAAAATGCCAAAATGCACTATTATTAACTGTGAATACTAACATATTGATAATTGCCAGTTTTTAGACATCAAACACAGGCACATAAATCAAGCACACTTTGTGCCCCGTATATTTCAAACAAAGTGTGTTTTAATTCACCCATTATGAGTAGGTGGGACATGAATGAAGGTTTGTAGATGTGATATGTGATCACACGAAAATTGAAGAAGTCATGTAAATTTCAATATGATTGCAATATCACAAGAGAACTCACGGAATCCTAATATATGAGTATGCACATCCCCAACAGTATTTGGAAGTGTTCTTGTTTATACATGTATTACAGATTACGTAATCAAACATTTTCAATCACTAGATTCGTTCTGTGTTGCTATTGGTTAATACAACATTTGATTGATGTGCACGAAATAAGCTAGACTTTAAAACAAAGAAAGATTAAAATTGGTACTGTACTTTGCTCAGTGACATATGGTTCAAAATAAGATATGTATAGTGTCTTACAAGGTGAGAGGTTTTTCATGCGTCTTTATTGTGGTACATGGAAACCACTGCTAAAATAGCATTTTATGATTATATACCTTAGAAGTTGTTTTTTTAACAATAAAGTACGAGTTAGGACCATGAGCCTTGAACGCAAATAGCAGATATGTGTGCAAGGTAAAAGTCAACCAAAGAAGAATAATAGAACAGAACTACACTGCATATATCAAGAGAGTTAAAAATATTGGTTTATCAATTTTCATAACTCGTAAATATACTATAATTTCATGATTATTAAATTATTATTATTATTATTATATTCTGGAGGTATTCAACTTAGCTATTATTACATGATTTTATGTTGATTTAAACTATACATGAATTATAAACACCTCATTAACATAATCAGATTACATGTGCCTTGACAGAACACAGAGTTGTTGACAACAGGTTTTATTGACTCACCAGGCATAAGGCATATCTTGTATTGATTATAAGTGTTCATTAATAGAGATCAAGTGCGTGCATACTAGGAGACTGAACGCAAAGATTCACTTACCGCCATGATTCACTCTACCATTCGGTATTGACTTAGTCGGTGCTACTTCGTCAATGGTTGCCGTACTCAAGTCTGAATGTGATAGGCTGGAGTTGGTGTTCGCTGTGAACAGAATGTAGTAAATAGATGATGAATATTATGTTTGAATGTAACCCTCTTGTTGCCATAGAAACTAGTCCACACTAGCTTCCTGTTTTTTTCTTTCTTTCTTTCTTTCTTAATAATAATAATAATAATAATAATAATGTTTTATTGCATCTTTGGAAATAATATTTCCATCCGTGTACAGCAATAAACTGATAAGATATAAAAATAGTTTAAAATTGAGAACACTCAGGAGTCAATGCCCTCTCTTCTAATAGAAAAAAGGTTCTATAAATATTCTCCAACCTGTCTGACCATGTTGTCTTCACTCGTACTCATTAGATAAATTAATTCCTGCTTTTTTGCTTTTTTTTCAACATTTGAAAGTAATCTTTGTATGTGTTTCCATGAAGAAATGTTGTTCATTTTCAATCTTTCCAATATTTACATGTTCTCATTTCTAGAGATGTTTTGGGTTGGGTATGTCATACTTTCTCTATGTCCATTGTATGGTTACTTACACTAAAACATGTCATTGTGTTTCTTTCCTTTCAATTGAGTATAGATAAATAACATTCAAAAGTGTTCAACTCTTTGAATTTAGCAAACATCCTAAATTAAGTTTGCTATTTGCTATTCCAATTGTACCCAGTCTCTATTGCCTCCAGGTTCAATTCACCTTGGCCCCAATTTCCCAACTGTACCCAGGCTCTATTGCCTCCAGGCTCAATTCACCTTGGCCCCAATTTCCCAACTGTACCCAGGCTCTATTGTCTCCAGGCTCAATTCACCTTGGCCCCAATTTTCCAACTGTACCCAGGCTCTATTGCCTCCAGGCTCAATTCACCTTGGCCCCAATTTCCCCCACTATACCCAGTCTCTATTGCCTCCAGGCTCAATTCACCTTGGCCCCAATTTCCCCCACTATACCCAGTCTCTATTGCCTCCAGGCTCAATTCACCTTGGCCCTAATTTCCCCCACTATACCCAGTCTCTATTGCCTCCAGGCTCAATTCACCTTGGCCCCAATTTTCCAACTGTACCCAGGCTCTATTGCCTTCAGGCTCAATTCACCTTGGCCCCAATTTCCCAACTGAACCCAGGCTCTATTGCCTTCAGGCTCAATTCACCTTGGCCCCAATTTTCCAACTGTACCCAGGCTCTATTGCCTCCAGGCTCAATTCACCTTGGCCCCAATTTCCCCCACTATACCCAGGCTCTATTGCCTCTATGCCCAGTTCACCCTGTTAGAATATGACTTTATTTCCCACTTTAAATCCCAAAATACAACCTAATTTTGAATCTGGAATCTTGCTTTGAGACATGTTCAATACAACTTACCTAGAAAGTATGAAATGTTCAATGTTTGCTTGGACGCAGTGGCAATGTATTTTACATAAAGTTAAAGCGCAGTGGTCGTCGTGCAGTGTGTGTTCCAATTTTATGTAAATAAACAATGTATTTCACATGCGTTGTATACGTCGCTATGAGTCCCATATCGAACAGGACGCAGCATGACGACTACCGTCCTTTAACTTTTATTCTCTCTTTTGACACTGATTTGCTTTTGCAATTTAACATTCTGTGTCAAACGATGATAGTACCTCTTGTACTTGCATTCTTTAAAATTTATTTCAGTGAACAAATCTCTGTAGTTTTTGCATTAACAAATTTGATGGAATCAATCTTTTGCATTTATGACAGTAAATCAGCCAATGATTGAAAAAAATATATACAAAGACTCATGGGTAATGGATGTTACCAAGTATGTTCTATAGCCAATGAAAGCATCTTCTTTGCATTTGAATGAAGTGTGAGGATCTTTTGGAATATATGTTGTTTTATAAATGTCCATGTTTATGTTTTCATGAAACCGGTATACTCTGAAATTATACTTTGTATAAATCTTAAAGCTTATAGACTTGTCATTCAGGCAAACTCTTAGTTAGTGGCGAATTGAGAGACGGCTCTTGGTGGCAGATAATGGAACAGAAACGTATTTGTTTCCATTGTACATTTTCCGGAGATACAACATAACAGAACTTACATTCTCAGTGTTGCTGGACAATGCTCAGGGTTATCTATGGGCGTTAGATTTCAAAACATACTTGTCAAATCATTAAATCACGAAATGATGCGAGTATTTAAACAATGAATATTGTTAACAAAAGTGGACACTGGACCGTCGTGTTTGTTTGTTTTTGACGCTAATTTCGCTCCGATTTGTTTATTACACGTTGTGTATTGGCAACCTGTAGACATTGATATTCAATTCACTCGCGCTGTTCTTGCTGGATGAGTACTAGTACTCCAAACAACCGACTGACTCGATTGCCGTGGTTGTAGGCGCCGATGAGTAGGTGTTAACTTGATAAGTGAAATAACAATCATCGCGGTAATGACGGACAGTAAATATAACACAGGCTTTTGTTCTATAAATAGCTTAATTAGATCACATTTGTAAACTGCATTGTGCGAGGGGCGTGTGTTATTTTTTGTTTTGGAAGCACGCAATTGTTTCCTCACGTCGCGCTTTACCAACACTTAGAAAAAATTTTAGGTTTGTTTACAGCAAAGCTGACAAATACTTTGCGTGAAATACGATCAGGATTGTGACGTTCTGCTCCAAGTCCTCTGTATAGGTGTGCGCCAACTAAAACTCTGAGTCTGGGCTCTGTTTCGACTGTTGAAAAACGGGCGACGAACCGATTGTTAACACTGCAACACTTACTCACGTTCAGTAATCGTACGTGACGTATGCCTGTTTTTGTGGAATAAATGTCGAAACTAAATAATGTTTCTGACACCTACTCAAAGCAGAGATGGATCGGTCACTCACTGGGGGGAAACAATCTGCCTTAAAATGTATTGGTGATACAACGGGGGAATAACATACAGACATATCCCATCTATCCCATCAACAAGTATCGACATATATTCTTACCTTCGCCGTGAAGTTGACGGGAACTATTTACACCCATAATCTGCCTAATACAATCCGCACAAGCGCCGGAAGAAAGTCAAGAACTATCAAAACTTAACCGTTGTCCAGACATTGGCGGTTCCACCGACACATAATTATATGTCACTTGATTCGACTTTTGGACTCCACGCATCCTTAACTTATATCCATTTGCAAAAAAACACTTGTTGTTGACTCAAATAAGCTCAAACTAACGATCTACAGATATCCCGGGCAACGAAGATCCTCTCTAGGTTTGAGGTGATGATCACGGTCGATGTGCTCGGAAACTGAAAGCGGGTCAACGATCCGATTGTGGCCGTGCTGTTTGTAAGCTATTCGTAAAAAGCGTGGTGTGTAGGTCGACGTGTAAGCTGTCCCCGTATGGACCGACACAGTGTAATAATACAAAGCAATGCCCGACAACTGTTCGTCTACTCTGTATTATGTTGGAAGGCTTCAAATCGATCCCCTTAATTTAAATATCAATGCACAGACGGCCATTTTTCGTGTCTGGTGTCACGGAAGGGAGGCGCTCGACGTGTTTATTTCCATTCAACACGACCTATTCCATTCCAATGTCCATTGCTCTAAAACGGCACGGATGGAAGGCGTTGGTATTTGACGAAAGAGTTTAAATCCATTGTGTTTTGGTACCAGCGATTACAAGTTCCACAAAATCACTTCTCCGTAAGCACAGGACATATTTGGAAAGCCAGCACGTATTAAATATTTTTTTGGGGAAATGCTCGTGCTTCCGCACTTTTTACATGGAAACCGAGGCACGTTAAACAATCAACGCCCTCTATCGGCGAAATATCAAGACATCATTGTTTTCTTTTTTCGAGCGATTGTGAATAAATGAATTTTGAAGGTGAACATTTCTAAGATCATTAAATGTTCACAGAAAAAAGGGCGCTGATATTCAATACAATAACATTATTAAATATAGCGAAAACAAAATAAAAATTAAGTATTTCACAGTACACACGATATAAGCAGGATATCCGAATCAGAAGTTACTTGTAATTAGCGCAGATGTGGCTGTAATTGAGTTTTTAGCATCTAGGAAGCACGCGGGACTCTCCGACCGACAATTCCAATACAGCCTTCTCATAAATGAGAATACTCGGAATTTATTAATTTCGCAATACAAAGTACTCAAAGGAAATACAAGAATATTGACTTTAAAAAGTTGAGGGTTGCCTTATTTTCGAGAAAATGGTGGTTGTATTTTAGTGGATTGTTGTCATTTTTTGCGATATTATAGCGCTTTTACCATAGGTTTCCATGACAGTGCAAACGAATCGAACAGGGTTTTAAGTTGTCCAAGATAAAAAAAAAAAAAAAAAAAAAAAAAACTAGCGGAAAAATTTTGACATGCATATATCAGGGGTAAATCTCTTCCACGGGGTCTCCACACTTGTCAGGGGGGGAACTCGTCTCGTCTCTCTATCTCGTCCCCTTGAGGTACGGGATCGGGAAAGTCACTTTAACTTTACAGTCAAATAAGACACACACAACGAAATACGTTTCAACTCTCGTCTTAGTCGGTCAATCGAGCACTCTATAAGACACAGCGCCCTGGGGAAAAGTCCCCAAGACTGTCGCAAGGCTGAACCAAGACTCGCCCAAGACTGGACTGCCTCAAGGCTCGCCCCTGGACTCTCTCGGACTCTCGACTGCCCAGGACTGCCCTCGACTGCGTCTATCGTGCTGTACTCGCCAAGACCAACTCAAACTCTCCTTATTCATTTTCAAAACTCTAACCAATTACAAAACAGTAAAAAGACTCTATGGCGTAACCTTCAATCATAAAGCCAATCATACTAAGTACTGAATACGTCATATCTTTTGATTAATCGTTCACTACATTAATAACTATGGAATACCAACTGTCAGAATCGCGACGGATATCTGGTAATTAGTTCTAAATCACTGAGCCAAGTTCCGTCCAAAACTTCAAATAGGCCTACACGATGACAGACATAACACAGCAATTCGCTAATAATCAGTTAATTAAGTCGGTTAAAAGATACGCAAAAACAAATTCATGACACATAACCCACGAACGCCCTGCCCTAACTATAGATTTCGGAACCAGACTTCAAACAAATAATGTCTTGGTGTATTTGTTTTTATCCCAGATTATCATAATGTAAATGTAAAAATTCAATGCTTTCTTCTACTGTCTAGCATGTAAGTTTGTTTCTAATATTACCTCTATTGAATGGGCCAGGAGATCGAATATTCCATGAACAGAAAGCCTACTAGTGGCTTCATTAAAAAAAATCAAGTGACACTCTTCCCCACAAAAAAAGACATATAAAGACCACGCATACAGGTATTTTAAAACCGGGACAATCAAAATAATAATCACGTACCACTAGTCGCAGACGACTGTAAACGCAGTACTACTACACTGCATCGAGTCGACTGGCGCA